ATGTACGTAGGTACCTATATGAATATCAAAACAGCAAAATCTTATACAAGAACGTTATATGATTCTTAATATTGAGCCTAATTCAAGAAATATGACATTTGTGGCAACCATCTTCTTAATTAGGTACCTTGTGGATAAATGTCATAAAATTATTGTGACATACCTAAGTTTCCAGAACAAATAAACCCTGCGACTAAATTGTAAGTACGCAGGCACACCTAGGTTGAAGCCAACTATCATTTTTACTTAGTATTACGAATAATATGTGAAAAATAGAAACAGTTTTCTAAAAATGCATAAATACCTACCTACTATCAAAAACACATAAAACCCGGTAGGTACCATATCAATATTTTATAATTCTGTCAGCGAATACCTACCTACCTATTCACTGTAAACTTTGTTAGGAAAATAATGATTAAAATGTTTGGTATGCAAGTATAAAACTAGTGAATATAGTATGTGTTCATTAAATTTTCCACATTTTATCAGGCGGAAAATATCGTGTTTTTCATACACGGTTCGGGCTCAAAGGGAACATCGTGTTGTATCGCGAGATTCAATCCGGGGCTTTGCGGATTTACAAAAATTGTAGCGGCATTACGTACGTGCGCTATGCACCTGAAAATGATGGAAAAGAAAACTTTTTGCGGGAATATGATCGCCTAGTACAATATCTGTCAGCTTACGTAGGTTTTTCTGTACATAGGTATTATTTTCATGTTAATACATTTACATTTTTCATATTAATACATTTCAGTTTTCAAAATGATGTCAAAATTTCAAAGTCTGTTTTTGGTTAAGTCTGTTTGTGAACAGTAATCTAATCGCCTAAGCTGAGGGATACATTAAAGGCTCTAAACTACTACATTTAATACTTATTGAAAATATTTACATGGCCTTCAGCATAGCCTGCTGCTGTAAAATTTGTTCTCACGCCACCCATACGAGGGTATCAATCAGTAGCTGTTGTCAATAATTGTTCTAGCACCTTCTAAAACACTACTGGAATAAATGCAGGTCCTTAAGAGCTAACAACAAGTGCTACATATCGCCCGGCCGCGTAATCCCATTAATGTTGGGAATACATCACTTGCTCGCTGGCGTGAGTACAGGGGCGCACTAAGGGAAACGTACCGCCTTACAAACTGGTGCAGGACATAAAGTTACTTTCGTAGGCAATTTCTTACAGTTTTTTGGGATACACGTTGATCCGGAAACAGTGGGGTCTCGTTTGACGCGTAGTTTGTTAAGAAATCTTTTACAGCGATTCGGAATACTTTGACGACTCCATATAGCGGTAAGCAGTTGTTGCCAATAATAAAAATGCGGTCAATTTTATTGCAAAGATATGGCGAAAAAAGGTTACTAGTAGCAAAGAATATGCAGGTCAGTCATATACGTATTACATTTATGTTATTTCATCAACGCGCCATTTGTAAATTTATGTATTGTGATAGGCTTCACAAATCTTTTAAACCCATAAATGAGTAAAAAGACATTTCAACCAAACATACAGATTTGCAACTTTACCGTTGATAGTACAAAGTATCAAAACCTTCCATCCCATCCTGGATACGCTCCAGTTAGCCGGTAGATTTACTGCCAGCGCAGAATGAAAGGGCTAGCCGGAACCGTATCCTACCCCGTTTATTAGCAGTGCTATGTACACAAGGATTTATTTCCTAGCCCCTTAAATTTCTCCTTTTTCCTCGGATACGAATAACCAGAGGTATGAAGTCTGTCAATCTTGTTACGCTAATAAATCAGCTGGCGTTTTGTTGGGGAAAATAGACCTAACATAATGACTGGTTGGAGCTAGGTTTATTTCTAAATAACAGGTGTAAGTCAGTGTAAGGCGTAATCAGATCATAAAACTAAATAAATTTTCTCGGAGAAATTTCTTTTTAGAAACGATTATGCATATACCTAGCAACTTTAGATAGCAGGGTCAAGTTTTGTACCTATAGGAGGTGCGGTAAACCGTCTCTTATCTTTGCTTAGATACCTTAAGATATAAATTAAATTACCAGATTTTTAATTCTGAATCATCGTAAGTACGGGAACTCTATATAATATTGCCTTGTAATAATGTCTGAGCACACTTCTGTTACTAACCTACAAACTAAGTAATTCCTTCTTTTCCAAACACGAGCCATGTATTTTATAGATACTTCAAACATTAGGTACTCTAATCTTCTTATCCATCCTTTTCTTTGTTTTGAAGTATTCCGGTCCCTGTCCGGGCTCGATAAAGGCTTTATAGGGAGGAGGCGGTCGGGGGTTGATAATCTATATCAGTTTGTGTGTGGCCAGGGGCTCGTTAAGCCTCCATGTAGGCACAGGGTGGAGCTGGGAAGGGAGCCATATTTTTTCGCTAGTTTTAACAATTTTATGCGTGACATTGATATGTCACTGATAGGCTGTCAATCGAGTGAAATAAAATCTCAAACAAATATCGAATGCCTATTGTTATTAGTGATGTCAATATCATAGTTCTTGTTTGATAAGATTAAGAATAAGAAACCGCGATTTTATACTAATTATTTTAAACACCTGAAATTCTGTAGGTAAGGTACTCAATATAAAATGTTTCAGAGAAAATAATTTAGATATCGATAAGATCAAAATAAAGTAACATGTATATTTCCGCAATGATATGCAACTTCTCTTCACGTGAAAAGCCCGTTATTTTTCCACAGGAAATGAGTTGACAAGAAATACATTATATTGGTAAAAGTGCTTTGTCGTACATAATTTCCAATTTAAGGGGATGATGTGAGATATCAACAATGCTTCAAAACGACGCACTGCGCACAAAACCTTGTTATCTGAATTTGTAACATGAAACGAAAAACACATTTGAATGTTCGAGGGGTGGTGGTATACTCGTTCAAGTCATATGCAATCTGTTTTCAAATTTCATATGCAAAGCTAAGCCGTCCCTTTAACATGGAAATAAATATTAAGCCCTCTTTATTGGGAAGGGGAATAAATAATGGTTGCATGACGCTCCATTTTGAGATTTCCCTCTAGAGGAAGCATCAAGTTTGAAGTAAATCTGCGATATCTCCGGTAATGTCTCCCCCGGCGTGCCAAACGAACTCGCTGACCGTAAAATTGTAAAAACTACGATAAATCTTCCCTTTAGCTTACTGAGATTCGGGTAGACCGGTAAACCTGACAGAATATATTTCTTTCTTTGAAACCCGAAAGTAGTTCACTAGACTGGCTAGGCTTTAGACTTTTCATTGTAAGGACGTGAAGCGAGATGACTGGGTTTTAGGTGAAAAGGTTGGAAAGTATTTGCTTTGAGTAGGTATTAAAAAGAAATTGACATGAATATAATAAAATAACAAATGATTATTAGCTTATCGCGTTTTGTACACATTGAAAAATTAATACTGTCTGTCATATTTTACGAACTTATTATTATATACGTCAAATGCGTAGGATTAACGTGGTTTTACGTATTTTTTGGATCGGATACTTTACACACTACAAAGTACTCATGCGAATGATAAAAGCGCTTGATTCAAATTCAATGATTTTCTCAGCCAGCAATGAATACGAAACGAAAGGAAACACCTACCTAAGTACATATAGCTAAATATTGGACGGAGCAAAGACCCGATACCTGCCCGGGCCAAATTAGCCGTGTTTTCCGCCCCTAACTTAATTACTCTGACGCTTCAGCTTTTAAAACTCACGTTAATTTTTAATTGTATTAGGAAGGTTAAAATTACTTGGTTCCTTTAGAAAAGTTTTTAATTTTAGTTAAGAATTTTGTCAGCAATGTTTTACGAAGTTTGCAATTAACAAGGGGAAAATCTATTCTAACCGTTTCATGTTCTTCTATTAATAAATGATGCACTGATATTTTTTAAGATCTTAATTTATAATGGGCCAGTGTATAAATAGATTAATACTACATAGCCACGCTTCTGCGTCAAATCAATATGTTGTAGTAAACTGCTACGACATCGTAGCACTGTCATAGCTATATCACATAAGCTTTTTAATTTAGTTTGACCGAGGTTTAACCTCATGAACCCATGTTAAAAATACATTCTTTAATAGAAGTTGGATGCTAGACTTTAGTAATGAAATTCTGTGCAGCTTATTAGGATTCAGGCTACGTAATTGAAAGTTGTCCAATCGCTTTGAATGTTAGTTGAGAACTTTTTAATGAAAAGGCTGTAGGCACTCAGTTTCTATTTCATTCACCTACTTTAAAGCTAATTCTACAAAATCTGTAAAACTTTAGAAAAAAATTATAGTATCACTCAAGAACTACATACATACATATACCTACCATGGCAATATCCCTTGCGGGGTAGGCAGAGCGTAAACGGCTCACAGTTGAACGTAAGTTAGTACTGACAGCTAGACTTCATTTATCCGCTCTCTTTTGCAGTTATTTTTACCCGACTGCCACAGGAGGGTTTTGTTTCTCGAGAGTATGTAAGAACAAATTAAAAATTCATAAATTCAAGATGACGGATTTTTATCGCAAAACACAACTTGAAATTACCGCTGTCGAGTTTTGGTATTTTCATACATCTGCTTGTTATATAGGAATTTTCATTTATATGTACCACAAAACAATGGCTCAAAATTGTGTCACAAGACTCTGCTTTTAAAAGACAACCTTTTAGATGACGTCATTAAATATAACATGGACTTAAGGCTCAGAAAGCCTGTGAAATAATTAAGGAAGTGTAATAAGGCTTCCTCCATTTGCATAACAAATTTTGTTAAGGTCCAGCGGAAAAATATTGTTACATTAAATCTTTTGACAAATTAGTATACTTTTTAAGGGAGAATAAATTCGAAGTTTAATTACATTTTTAGTATGACCAGCACTATTTTAAATTGAGTTTTGGCACGAGTTTGTTGGAACTGGCATTACATTTATTTTGTAACATAACTTTGTTGAATATCAAATTTTAAAACCCTTCCCGTGTCAGAGATACAATTTTTTGGAAAACTATGATTGCACCGCAGTAGCCCAGTTGGTAGAGGCTTTGCCATTACAGATGGTGAAAGTCGCGGGTTCAAAAACTGCCTGCGGTGGAAAAATAATAATTTTGATTATTATGAATATTATGATAGCAGCCTTGAATATATAAGATGGTAGACGTGGGTGGGCTGTGGAAATGAAGAAGTCTTACAACAAGTTGTCTCTGTATTGTCAAAATGTATATCAACAATGAGCGTGAAAGTGAAATCGATAAGATACTCAGGGGGTCTTTTTGAGAGTACGCTTTTGAGATATATCAGAGACATATAATGCCGTTGTCAAAAATCAGTCTAATATATACAGACATACAGATAATACTGTGGGTAGACAAAGCGTAAACTGCTGTAAAAACGGCCATTCACACCACGACCGACAAAAATTTGAGAGTCATTCAGAAGAATGTGCATCACCATTGTGACAGCTTGTCAGCCTGTCGCCTAAAATTACAATATACATAAATTCTCAAATCCTTTAGCCGCTTCTTACGAAACCCATGGGAAAGATATAGGTGGATGCTGTTCTAAGCCAGCATCATACTGCAACATTTTACAACTATTTTGAAAACAGTAGGTACTTTGATTTGTTATCTCAAGCGCTAGTTCTTCGTTTTCATGTGGGACAGTAAGTTGAGGAACGACTGGGTCATCCCTGTCTCCACGGGTTTAAGCAACCGTTATCCAAGTTATCATAACGTGCCCTCCGTAGCACCAATTCCATTTATAATCATCATCTTCCTGCCCTTATCCCCATTACTTGGGGTCGGCGCAACACGTTTTGTTAAACACAAAATCGTGTTGCAAAGGATTTATCTGAGTTTTACGACCGGCCGCCTACCAGACGTCAACCCTCCTTGGGAATGCTTTTTTGGTAGAATAACCGTCACCATACGGTTGTTTGGGTCGGGTTTATCCCTCGGTCGCCTCTTACGACCCCCACGGGAAGAGAGGGGGTGGTGCTATTCTACTCTGCCGGCACCAATTCCATTTATGTCCCTGATTTTAGCAGCGACAAAATAAAGAACATTCATTAATTCCGTATGAACATAGCATCTGTAAAAATAGAAAAGTATTTTAAGGGCCCGCGCCGGTTGGAGTGCAGGACGCGGAAACAAAGAAGAGGTGTCATGTTAAAACTGGAGTGAAATGTATTATTCAGCGCCCGCCTCACTGAGATGTGACGCGACGCAGCGAGGACATGTCACACTCGGTACAGTCACAGTAAAATACTCACAGCAGTACAAATTGTCCTTGAAATTACCTTAAAAGGTCTGGCGACTAATGCGAAGCATGATCAAGTTTATTGATCCAACCACTTACCCGAAGTCAAGAAAGCGTACATGGGGCGTCCGACAGGGCGCCGTCCTGTGGGGCGACCCATGGACCGCTGGAGAGATGTGGTGGACACTGACTTGCGCGATCTACAAATCAAAAACTGGCAGAAGATCGCGCAGGACAGGGATCAGTAGCGAAGGCTCGTTTCGGAGGCCAAGATCCATTTCGGGTGGCTGAGCCAGCGGGTTCTGAGACAACGCAAGTATTTGCATTTTACAAACTGAGAATGAATTTTGCTCAAACGAACGTCAAGCACCACACCTAGACCATCCTATGAATCTACTGTTCTATTTTTATCCAATTACTATGACACAGTTACAACTGTACTGAACTATAGCTATATTTCATTCTTTGTGCCCATTTGCCTGTGTTTGACATGGAGCAAGATTTTAACGCTGAAAGTTTTCAATGGGCGGAAAATATGTCAAACAATTTCTACAAAAGAATGTTTTGTGTGGAGCCATGATATTTTGCTGGTAACAAATACGCTACGTAAAAGTTTCATCCTACAATATCGACTTTCCGCTTTTATACTCTGACATGTGTGTCTGTTGGTAATCAATACATAGTATAAAATGAAGTCGCTTTTAAAGTTTCTCTACCTGCCTGTCTGTCTGTCGTGGAATTTGCTAACTACTCCTTAATCACGCAACGGACTTTGATGCAGTTTTTTGAAGTACATAGAGTAATTCAAGAGGAAAGCTTGTGTGCATAACACATGCTGAAAAAATTTTGAAAACACACGGGAAAATAAGTTGCAGCAGGTGAAACTGCTAACGGGCCGCCAATATAAAAAAACTTAGCAAGCACTTAATTATTTGAAAGTTTATTTAGAATGCTATAAATGAAACAGTCGCGAGAGATTAAAAATTCGGAGGACATACACTCTACCGACAAAGAAATTACATTGTAATTTGTAAAATTTTACGCAAAATCAAAAGACGTAGGTCCAATAAAAAGGTCTTCAGAAAACTTTCATTCAAAAACTGGGCAAAGGCAAAAATGGAATAATGGCGCTTCTTTTTGTTGGCGAAAATTCCGAACAAGTCCCAACTTTGACATTAGCCTGTGAATTATCGCGGTCTCCTCGGTGTCGTTTGTGAAGTTCAGTCGAAGTTTTCGCTCGGATTCTTTGCAGTCTGTCCCCCGCGCTGGGCCGCGGCCAACCGCCTCACAAGCTGGTTACCTAAGGTTACTATTTTTTATGAGGAGCAAACCACTTTTCCTTGCTTTTGTAGCTGTCAATAGAATATGCCTAGACTGTGACTCCACACTAAACCGCAGCAAACCACACTACAAGGTGAAGGTATCTTTCGCGTTCAGATGTTACTATTGGAACAACTGTTTAAGTTTGACTTTCGATATGATTCGACGTTGTCGATGGATTTTTTTCATTCTTTCCCGCGCTGGGCCGCGGCCAACCGCACCACAAGTTGCTTAAGGTTACTTGCTCATATAAATTTTACGAGGAGCAAACCACTTTTCCTTGCTTTTTTAGTAGCTGTCAATGAATCTGGCCACACTGTCTCTCCGCATTATGTCCATTCGTTTCAGCATGACCGTTGCACTGGGTCGTGACCAACCGCAACTCAAGATGGATAAGGTTGCTAGCTCATACCTTTATTTTTTATTCGTAAACTTTTTTAATTCGGCTTGCTTTTCTTTGATACTATCTAAGTATTTTTTGCTAGAAAGAAAGTTAAAGATCTTTTTTTCTCTCAGGTCAAGTACTTTCTGTGTTATAAAATAAACTAAGAAGACGGCGTGATCACAAAATCATCTTGTGGTCGTAGGCTAATCCCACCTTGAAATTGAATGTTTAAACTTACAACAAAGTTTCGTAAAAATCAATATTTTCTCGATATAGGTATTTACGTGCAGTGTACCTGAAATATGCCAAACAAGCAAATATTTAACTGACTAAACTACCGCAGCGCGTGCCACGACAGGGCGTGTTTTTGCACCAGAATGGATGGCGTTTCTTGAACACGGACCACATTGTTTGCTGACCACCGCCCGTGTTTATGGCCTAGAAACACTACTAGCACGCCACTAAACAAGATTTATCTACACTCTGTTTCAGCCGCTTGGATGCGATAGAGACAGATTGACTACAGCCGTGACACTCGACATTTCAACTTCCATTGCTGCGTGAGTTCCAATAGATCTGAGACTCAAAGCGAAACTACGCAATGTATTTTAAAACAACCTGCAATCTACTTTATCGGTGGAGACAAGTGCCCATAAAAAGATCCTGTTTCAGACACAACGGGGACAAAAACAAGCTGACGAACGATGGCGCTATATTAGTGCCAAAAGATGATAACAAATAGCCCATTAAGAGCCACAAAAAAGAAATCCGGAAGCCGCACGAGACCAATGTGCAAATAAACCAGCAAACGACTTTAAAGATTACCGCATTTTCCTAAATAAATCTAGGGAAGAGTTTTTCAGTTAATGGGAAAAGGTTTAAAATAAATAAGGTAGTTAAATACGATCCTTGTAATTTAGTTAAAATGTTGCTGTTACGTTGTTTGAGTTCTCATTTCAGGCTTGTTACTAAGATGAAACTGATATAGCACAGCAGTACAGTCTCTCCCTCTCACTCACGAACAATCCAATTAATTGTTCATGAGTTAGCGTGAAAGACTGTACTTTGGACCGAAAGCAAGAAAAGGAGGGATCATAATTTTACATTTATATATGGTGAAATTTCACTAGTGACTGACCGATAGCAAAAGCTCAAAATCAGCTGGTGATAAGGAACAACTTCCCTCAAGGAACGTAGGTCGAAATATGAACAGAAATTGAGACCTCTCGTACAAAACTACCGATCAGCTAATTTCGCTATGATATCGCTACGTATGTAGGCACCCTTATGCTATCTTTACAGATCACATTGTCGTTTTCTTGCACTATCCAGACAAAAAATCTCGACGAAAATCTGTCGTGAAACTCGGTATAAAGAAGTGGGGATAATTGAAAAAGCTGATCTCTCATTAAAATCTTCCCGCCTTCGCCCGTTCCAGGCTCTATGCAGACTAACTGCATCGGAACTGCAAACCGACTGCGTTGCGAAAAACGACACTGCTCGAGTACATTTCGAGTTCGGATTCTGCTTTATAAATCACACATACAAGACATGTTTGATTTTATTAATATGAAAAACTAATCTATTTGTGCAACGTACCTACATATAAAATGCGAAAGACATTAGGACATAGGATCAACAGCATCTCATATAATCTAAACTGCGTACCTCTAAGATGTAGGTACTCATTCAAAGGTACACACGTTTTTAGTAACTAACTTTACAAATACTAGAAGGGATAACTGAATGTTAAAAAGTAAACTTGATATGATGAATCATAGTAGTTTACACCTGATCTGTAATTTGGATTTAGCAGTTAGCCGTCGGTCTATGTAGCTCCTTAGAATTAAAAGCGGGCATATCGCAGAGTCACGTAGCCGCCGCTTTTTATAACCGAGTCGACACTCAGATAATAACAGATCTGTATAAAGACCCCACCTGTAAAATAAAGACGGAATCCATTATCCGCGGACGAAAATAAAGAATAATTATATTTTGGGGCCGAAAATAAAACTTATTTGACACGAGAATAATAATTTCGTTGACACATGAAGACAAAGCGATGTCTATAAATAGTACGTATAGAAACGAGCGTGGACTTGATAATGTGTCTTTCATGAAAGAAAATCAT